TTTATTAAAACAAAATGGACGCAAGTCGGCCATTTTGAATCTTATCTGAAAACAAAATTATGTGCATCAAGGTCATATAATGTCCAACGTATATATCAAGTTTGAACAAAATCCATCTGTAAACAGCCGAGAAATGCTTGATTTTGATGATTTTTAGAACAAAAATGACTGCCATTCGGCCATCTTGAATCAGATCGTGAAACAAATTGATGTGCATATGTATAATATCATGTATGATGTATGTGTGAAGTTTGATTGTGATTGGTCCAGGCATTTCTAAGATACAGGTCCTGACCCACGCACGGAATCACGGACACACGAATGCACAGAGGTTCGAACGGGGACTAATAAGGTAGTGTTTATACCTGCACATGTGAAATCATGATCACTCCACTGTCCATTTGCTTGACAAATACTAGAATCTGTCCCAGATGATGTATAGCCAGTATTACAGTAAAATGTACATACAGTATTGTAAGTTGTTTCTGTACATGTTGAGCCTCCATGTGCTGGATTAGTGATAGTTCCACAATTCACTGCTGCAAAGAAAAATAATTAAAATATTATAAATTATAATTTTTGAACAATACTGTAAATATAATATATGTTACTGTATCTGAAATGCTGAACTGTTTGAGTTATGGACATCAAGTTACGAAAATATTGAGTTACAAAAATGACCTTGCCCTGTTTTAGAAACCATGTTCACTTTTGTGAAACTATTCCCGAATTGCAACCTGACGTATGGAGCCGGGAACAGCCACTGGTGGCGCTGTATACAATCAAAACGTATTTAGGCTTGCCTATACTCATCCAGACTTTAACAGCGTAAAGGTCAGAAATACTTGTTAAATTTGGTGACTAGATTAGTATGATACAAAACGTGTACAGTCTTGAAATTATTACAATAGACAGAATATACGTGATTCCGGCATTTCGTAATAAATGCTTTCTAATTTAAGAATTGCACATCCAAATAATATTCATGAGATATGTCAACATATTAGACTAATTATGGATACCAAACATACCGGGGTAGTGTCCAAGCAAAATTGGAAGGCACATACAAGTAATACTGTTTCTATACATGTAAGGTAGTACATGTTTATACCTGCACATGTGAAATCATGATCACTCCACTGTCCATTTGCTTGACAAGTACTAGAATCTGTCCCAGATGATGTATAGCCAGTATTACAGTTTAATGTACAAACAGTATTGTATGTTGTTCCTGTACATGTTGAGCCTCCATGTAGTGGATCAGTGATAGTTCCACAATTCACTGCTGCAAAGAAAAATAATTAAAATATTATAAATTATAATTTGTTAACAATACTGTAAATATAATATATGTTAGTGTATCTGAAATGCTGAACTGTTTAGGTTATGAACATCAAGTTACGAAAATATTGAGTTACAAAAATGACCTTGCCCTGTTTTAGAAACCATGTTCACTTTTGTGAAACTATGCCCGAATTGCAACCTGACGTATGGAGCCGGGAACAGCCACTGGTGGCGCTATATACAATCGAAACGTATTTAGGCTTGCCTATACTCATCCAGACTTTAACAGCGTAAAGGTCAGAAATACTTGTTAAATTTGGTGACTAGATTAGTATGATACAAAACGTGTACAGTCGTGAAATTATTACAATAGACAGAATATACATGATTCCGGCATTTCGTAATAAATGCTTTCTAATTTAAGAATTGCACATCCAAATAATATTCATGAGATATGTCAACATATTAGACTAATTATGGATACCAAACATACCGGGGTAGTGTCCAAGCAAAATTGGAAGGCACATACAAGTAATACTGTTCTATAAGGTAGTACATGTTTATACCTGCACATGTGAAATCATGAGCACTCCACTGTCCATTTGCTTGACAAGTACTAGAATCTGTCCCAGATGATGTATAGCCAGTATTACAGTTGAATGTACATACAGTATTGTAAGTTGTTCCTGTACATGTTGAGCCTCCATGTGCTGGATTAGTGATAGTTCCACAATTCACTGCTGCAAAGAAAAATAATTAAAATATTATAAATTATAATTTGTTAACAATACTGTAAATATAATATATGTTACTGTATCTGAAATGCTGAACTATTTGAGTTATGGACATCAAGTTACGAAAATATTGAGTTACAAAAATGACCTTGCCCTGTTTTAGAAACCATGTTCACTTTTGTGAAACTATGCCCGAATTGCAACCTGACGTATGGAGCCGGGAACAGCTACTGGTGACGCTGTATACAATCGAAACGTATTTAGGCTTTCCTACACTCATGCAGACTTACAGTGCAAAGGTCAGAAATATTTGTTAAATTTGGTGACTAGTTTGAGTTACAAAAATGACCACACCCATATTTTACAAAACCACGCCCAAATTGTAACTCGATTACCTGTTACAGAACTTAGGGCAAAATACAATTTTGTTTTTGCAACATAGAACATTACACAATGTATACTTGAGGTTTTCAACAAAAAGTCAAAAACATCACTTTTTACCAAAAATATTGATCAAAATTAAAGACATCATCACAAAATGAACAAATTTGTGTTTGACTTGTCGTTTTCAAGAAGAATTCTAAAAAGGAAAAGGTTGACATGAACACAGCCGACGGACAATCACTGATATGCTTAGCTCCGCTTCACTCGTACATGCATATCACATGGTGACATCATTGAATCTAACGATACTGCACATAACAAATTATCGTTCACTGTACTGCCGATGTTCTAAGGTCATGACCAGAATATTCATAATGCCTTCACCTGCTGATTTGGCATCATCAATATTATGGTCATGACTACCACTACTTGGGCAGACAACAAATTATGATATTACCCTTGAATACATGTGGTTCCAACAATTTAAAACAATACTTTGATGTTCTTTAAACCTATTACTGATGAAAATGATTACTGATGAAAATCACCTTGTCCAGAGTCCCAGAACTTCCAGTGACAGTTTTGATGCCACTACTCCAGAAACTGTGCCAGAAACACCTATATGACTGTGTAAATCCAACACAAAAACATATAATCATGAAGTTCATAAACAATAATATTTTTAATATATTTCAGTCACTGACTCCAATGTTTGTAGTTTTATATTTTATATAGTTTGTAGTTTTATAATTTTCTCTGTTCATGTATACTTGAAATGATATTTAATACAAATGTCATGTGTAGTAGTCACGTTTTTCTTGTATATTTTTATGAATTTAAATTGTAAAATAATAAAATTAATATTGTTTTTATTTTTAGACATATCCATGCATATAAAAAAAAAGTCATCCCAGGAAGACATCATGTGATGCTGCTACATAAACTGTCATCAATTTGGAAAACCTTCAGCCATATACATGTATACCGGTAGTAACAAATCACTCACAGGAATAAAGTTCATTATTATAATTTTGGTCATGTGACCCATTGTTCAAAACTTTTCAGTGCAAACTTTACAACACATTTCATATTACATAATGATGTACTTCAGTTTGACAGAATTGTATTATGTGTACTGGGTATGCGCGGGCGAGTTTATACCCTTATGACTGGGACACAGGAAAGAGAGTTGTTGTTAAAAATAAATAGACCAGTCTTTATTCATTACTGTAACATAGGATGTAATAATACATCACAGGAAATAGATTTGACAACAATTGAACAACACCCACTAAACTTCTAAATACACGATAAAAACATTTATTTATCGCATTTTCACAGCGTCTATAGTAAAGACACCATTTTGATACAAATTGTATTGGAATATCAGTTATGAGAAGAATGATGTAAAATTGTTGTTTTGACTATAATTATGGCTGTATTCACTGGAATTCGGTCATTTTTGAGAATTTGGTCATTTTTGACAGATATCATTTTACATAACCAAAGTTTATTTTGACAAAATCATTCTCAGGTTTTTCATCCATGGCTATCATATCATATTTTGCTATGCGATTCGTCATTGTTCTTCGATAGAAGAATTAGAAATTTATAATTTGTATTTCTTGCCCAAATCTTATTAATTTGTTTTTAGGTGAGGTCATTGTCTTTAACAGGCCTAATATTTAACCCCATTTTATGGGAATCTTGTCATATGTTTCATCACATTATGGCAGACAAGCTTGACAATTTGTAGTGCTGTCATTACTAATATAACCTATTCAATGTTTAATAAGGTCAAATTCTCAAATCTTTTCTGTATATCTTATCACGGTGTTGCATACTGTCATACTATACACCTCATTCTATTCCAAGATTATTGCTCTTTTCTCAGACTTTTTGTTATTAATTTGCTAATTAGTCCTATATTGAGTTTATTATTGAATAGTGGTTGCAACCCCTCCCCCTTCCCCAATTATTCAGGAAGGCTGATCATTTGATTTTGATATGACTAGGGATGTTCAATAGACCCTTTGTTGGTTGGCATAGTTGTATTTTTAGTTTTTCTACAGCATAAAATTGTTTCTCAGAACTACAATTTTTACACAAAGTTTGACTATGCTCTTTATCTTTACAGTCAAACTACTGTAATTATGTTTTAGTATATCCCAGGTTTCCTGTCATAGGTCTCTCGTCTGAGTTCAAACACCGTGGAATTGTTTTTTGTTTTTTTATTTTGGAAATAATGAGCTGATGAATCGAGACTTTTGATTTAATAAAATGCGTTTTTCTCTCATAATATTACTGATAAACTACCTTTAACAATCATAATTGTATGTACTGTTTTAAGAAATTTACTAAAATTACTAATCTTGCCAAATGTTGGTTTGTACTTATATGTGGTGAATAAGGACACTATACTCTACAGTACAGCATCTACAAATCAGGCCTACATGTATGTTTATTGCATATCATTTTATTTGATGTCACAGTGTGTAGGTTGCCAAATTCTAAAACTTTTTGCCTGGGTTTAAGGACATCATCTAGTGGTAGATTTTCATCAATTAAATATATGGATTTTTTTGTATAGGAAATTACTCATCCAATAATATTGTATCATGTCCAAGATTTAATAAACTTTGATTTTTCACTTAAAGTATCATACCACATCATTACTTATCATCTTTAGTAGCGTTCTAATCATATGCGTTTTATCTGAAATTGTGTATACATGTAATGTATTGTGTATTACCTACATGTATATATGAAGTTTGAATGAAATGATGCATGGCCAAGAATATGCAAAAACATCATTTTCAAAATGACACTTTTTGATCCCAAAACTATACTCAACTTGCACTGATCCCAAAACAAAATTAAAGGGCATCTATATGTTTAGTGATACACCTCTGTGGAGAATTTCATAAAAAAAATTGTCAAAGCATTTTAGTTCCATCCATATTTATCATTTTTTTACTAAAAATGGCAGAAAAGAACCTTTAGACCATAAATGCCCCCAACATACCCTTTTAATGTACATAGATCAGAAAATTAAAAAATAGTACCAGTGTAATACTTAGTACATCACATGTGTATCAAATTTGAATGCAATCAGTTCATGCATGTCTGCGATATGGTCGCGCGTGGTCATGGACACATAGTTACAAGCCCCTGTTCTGATACATTGTGTCTGTCCGGGTCAATAACAAAATATTGAAAAACAGAAATAAATTATATATAGTATCAGAGGTACATTACTTGGGGTTTGCAACTATGGTGACATGATACCAAGATCCCATTACAATCTCGCTCTCGCATAAACGTTCCAACTCAGAAAAATGCGAATGCGCATGCCCGAGGTAACTAGTATACTGGGATGTCCAGGTGGATCAAAATAGCTGCCCACGATATGACGGATTACGAGAACTATATTTTCTGTACATTTTCGATGTATTACATTTTTCACTATGACAGTGGCAAGAAAAGTTTTATTTTTTCATTACAAACCTTGAACATTGATATATGTCATGTCAGAAGGTTGTAGCCTCAGTCTCACTATCTACGAGAAGAGACTTGAATGGGATCTTGACATGATGTCACCATACAGTACTATGCGAGTTGCAAACCCCAAGTAATGTACCTCTGATAGTGTATATATATATATATACAGTATAGTAAGTTAGTATTTCAATTTACCTGTTTCACAAACATCTCCTGTATATCCAATTCCTGCACAGTCACATGAGTATGACCCTGCTGAATTAGAACAGGTACCTCCATTCTGACAAATATTGTTTGAACATTCATTGATATCTGAGAAAAAAAAAAAATTACCAGTATTATAACAATCGACCTGACAGGCAATATAACTACTGTAATTATGTTTTAGTATATCCCAGGTTGCCTGTCATAGGTCTCTGGTCTGAGTTCAAACACCGTGGAATCGTTTTTTGTTTTTTTATTTTGGAAATAATGAGCTGATGAATCGAGACTTTTGATTTAATAGAATGTGTTTTTCTCTCATAATATTACTGATAAACTATCTTTAACAATCATAATTGTATGTACTGTTTTAAGAAATTTACTAAAATTACTAATCTTGCCAAATGTTGGTTTGTACTTATATGTGGTGAATAAGGACAATATACTCTACAGTACAGCATCTACAAATCAGGCCTACATGTATGTTTATTGCATATCATTTTATTTGATGTCACAGTGTGTAGGTTGCCAAATTCTAAAACTTTTTGCCTGGGTTTAAGGACATCATCTAGTGGTAGATTTTCATCAATTAAATATATGGATTTTTTTGTATAGGAAATTACTCATCCAATAATATTGTATCATGTCCAAGATTTAATAAACTTTGATTTTTCACTTAAAGTATCATACCACATCATTACTTATCATCTTTAGTAGCGTTCTAATCATATGCATTTTATCTGAAATTGTGTATACTTGTAATGTATTGTGTATTACCATGGAAGGTACTAACGGAAGGAGCCACGACGCTATTGTTTTAGCTTTGCCCCATGATCGTTTGTCAATGTTTGTTCACAAACATTGGTTCCGTTAGCTCTTAACACCTTCGTACAATGGGTTACGCTAGTCTCGAGCATTCGGTGATATTCGGAGCATGTTCGGAAGCGATAGACGAACCTCGCATGTAAAATGCTAAAAATGGCGTCTAGTTTGAATGCTGTTGTTTCCGGAGATCTTGGCGAACTTTAATGAAAAATTAGCAGACATAACATTGATTGGAGAAGAACTGATGAACTATCGTGAATATTTTTGTATTTGTAACGGTGATGAGACTTAATCAATGATTGCCTGTGATAATAACGACTGCATTATACAATGGAACCATTGTCATTGCGTGGGTTTTGACGCCCAAAACTATTGAAATTTTCGACCACCGGGCATCGGCGAACACCACCAGAAAAGATAGTACCAAAAGAAGGGCATGCCTAGACACTTTCTCTGTGATAATATTTTTTAGGAGTCCTTAGGAATTTTCGTTGTAGACACTCGAAATCTTGTTCTTGTTACAGTTGCTCATACATGTAACTAAAACATGTGAAATTTGTGAAGTCAAACGTTAATCTGTTGAATTTCCGGTTGTGAAATATGTATTTTGACCTTTCACACCTAAACCATCCGAGTGCGCATGTATGATGACCGTAGTTTCATAATGCGCATATATTTTATGGTCACATTTAAAAATCGGCGGGGTTGTATCATATTCCGCTAACTCGTTACTTGTGTAAAAAATCGCAAACTATCATTGACATCAAAGATGAGCTAGACAATGTCCTCATCAGGATTAACTTGAGTTGAAACAAAAGAAAATAAGCCTGTTAAGGTAGCGGGACTATTATTTGCATACTTGTTTTCATCTTCCAGTTGTGACTAAATGACTACAAATAGACCCAGGAAAGTATATATTTTTAGAATCGCCAGACTTCAAGCTTTTCACAAGTGTATTTTGCATGCCCGTATCTGCATTCTACGACGCGTTACTCAATCAAAGGTGAAAAATTACTTTTTCTGTAAAAAAAATAATTACGCATTTATGCTGGTGATAAGAAGTATTTTTTTCACTTTTCCTAGTTGTTCAATAGTCAGGTAA